AACAAGATTGGGAACTACGCCACTTGTTGGGAACTACAAAAAGCCACTCAAACTGTAGAAGCTTCTCCAGTGAAATCCCCAGATTTCCTGCCCTGCTCCAAATTTGCGATGCTTCCAGAGAGCAAAATGGGTTATCTGGTATCGGTGCCCACGCTCGTTATTCTTCACTATGCCTTTTGCTTCAACACCCTAAACTTTCTCCTCCCCTAGTAAACGACCTCATACAAACTCGTGTACAAAGCTTACAAAACACCCCTATGGAGCTGGATTCCCTGCTCTCGAGCTCAAAAAACTCAATTCTCCCTTTCCGGCGTTACTCAGCACCAATCCCCGTCCTCCCGGAATCTACCTCCCCGCAACCGTAACAAAAGCAGCAGCGGGCCGCCTGAAAAACGCCTCTTCCCCCTCGGAGGATTTTCCTCGCGCCCCACACCCAATGCGACTTCCACCCTTCCTTTGCCCGGAGCTCTGCTGCCCTCTAGAGCGGCTCCCAAAAGCCCGATCCAAGCCTCCTCCCCGCTTTTTCGGAGGACTGGCGGATTTCCGTTACAGTCCACCAGCTCCAATTCATCCGCGGGAGGCGCAGCTAAACTCCCCCCTCCCCCAAAAAAAGTCCGACCTCCGGCTCCCCCGAAAAAGGCTGCCAGGACCTAAAAACCGAAAAAGTTCCCCTCGAGGAAAGCCCCAAAGCGAAGCAGCGCCCTCGCTCTGTTCCAAGGCTCCCGCTGCCCCGCCCCGACCTTCAGCACTGGGCCCCGCTGCGCTCTAGGCTCTCCGCTCTCGCCCTCCGCTTCCCTCAGGCCCAGGCGATTCCCCCCAAGCCCGCCCGGCACATTCAGCCAGCCAGCCCCCGCCACGTGACCGGTTTCCCCCTTTGGCCTCCTCGGATCATGTGACCGCCAGCGCAGGGCGGCTTCCGGGGTGGGCTCTCCGAGCACGTGGGCCGGCCTCGTCCCGTGATCCCCTGGTGTCACGTGGCCGCGGGAGGTGGAGGTTCTCGTGCCGGTTCTGCTGGTGCGCCTTCTTTCAAGCTTGTCAACCTTTCCTGTAGGAAGGTGGTGATCCAGATTCACACGGACCGCGATTAGATTCCTGCCCAGCCTTTTGTTATCTTTGTCCGTAGTTGCTCTCCCTCTGTGGTCAGTGAAGTACAATGGGCTGTCCCAAAGTCGCCATGTGAACTTATCTGGCTGGGGCGGGATTACAATTTGCGTCTTCACATGGTGCATGCATTCTCCTATGAGTAAACATGAACACCTGAGTTCCCACGCCATTTGGCTGCTAATAGTTTCCACCCGTAGTTGATCAACCGCACCAGGTGGAGCAGATCTAACAATCAACATCTGTTGAACACTGGAACTATTGCTATTGTTAGGCTTCAATAATCTGACTTCATTTTTCTCCTCTCTCTCTTATCTTCCAGGGAGTCAGGAAGAGCCTGACCTGGGTCTGTTCTTAATTCTACGGATGTCTGTTCTCAAAACTTAAAAAAGCTGTTATCCTTTTTTTTTTTTTGCTTACATAACAGTTTTTGAATATTTGCTGCTAGACAAATACCTCTGGCGCTCTATAGCTTGATTTCAGTGGGTTGGCTCTTTCACTTACCTGCAGGTGTATTTATTTAGGAAAGACATTCCGAGATTTACGTTTGAGTAAATAGAACAGGTTGTTTGGTTAAGTTCAACTCCTGACTGCATGGACCAATTCTTGCCATCCTGATTTATCTAAATGAAAAACAAATAATATTGATATAATCCCTTTGATCCTTTCTATCAGTTATTTTTCCCTCTCTTTCTCTCATTCTTGCAAAACATTTTTTGTAGCCGGCAGGTTTGCAAATTATAAATTTATGAAAGATCCATATGCAGCAGTGCTTAGCATACAACCTGCAAAGCTTCAGATTAATTACAACACTAAGGACCAACCAAACTTCTTTGGGTAGAAATGATTTTTCCAACCTATTTCATTCATTTTAGTTCCTTAGTATATATTTGTCTATTTTTGTCATCACTTGTTAGGAAAAACTTGTAATTGCAGCTACTTAAATTTGAAGTAGCAATTAAATGAGATAAATATATAAATAGAGAAAAAACTTTTATCCTTGTGCAACAACAAAATCTGGTGGAATAAAATTATCAATTCCAGGAAAAAAGAACATTTGTAGCTCAGAGTTGAAATGAGGAACCTTTGGTGCTCTCTTCAGCTTGGTGGTTGACGACTCATAGAGCGGGACACACACTTGACCTAGTGTTTCTCTCGGGGCAGTGGAGACGTGATCTCCAGTTAAGAGCAATAGACATCTCGCCCTTGTCATGGTCGGATCACTACTGTTGAGGCTTGATTTTTGGAAGCTACTCCCCCACCGCAGGGAGGTGGAACTGATTAGGTGGTTCTGCCTCAGACACCTGATGGACCCGTTGGGATTTCAGAAGGAGCTTGGGGAGATACCTGACTCTCTTGCCCACAATCCGGCAGAGTCCCTGGTTGCCGCCTGGAATACAGCAGCGACTGGGGCCCTGGATCGGATTGCGCCTATGTGGCAGTGGATCTAGGAGGGCTCCTTGGTTTACTGAGGAACTCTGGGAGATGAAGCGCCAAAGAGACGCCTAGAGCGACGCTGGAGGGCTAGTAACTCCGAATCCGACCGAACACTGCTAAGAGCCTTTATTAGGACTTATTTCGTGGTGATACGGATGACAAAATGTGCGCATTTTTCCGCTCTCATTGCGTCCGCAGAATCNGTAATGTACCCTCCTACAAACCTTGAGCCACTAGAGGGACTATTCCCTAAATACAATCCTTCATTTCAAACAACTTTAGGAGTATGAAAACACAGCACAGGTCCCATACAATCTCCATTCAAGATTAAAATAGCTACCTATGCAATTGGAGTAGTCATTACTACCGTGTTTTCCCAAAAATAAGAGAGGCTCTTATTTTCTTTTGACCCCCAGAAAAAGCGCTTGGCCTTATTTTTGGGGAGGTCTTATTATTTTTAGATGCAGGAGGCGATGAGTGTGGTCACCTCATGGCTGCTGCTGTGTTGCAATATTTTTTGGAAGGGCTTATTTTAGTGCATGCGCTCAAAGCCCAATTGGGATTATTCGGGGATGTCTTATTTTCAGGGAAACAGGGTAGCTTAACTGCACCACTATCTCAGAATGTAGATTCATCTAAGAATTCTAAAAGAAAGTTCTTCCATTGCTTACCTTGACTATGTAGCTCCCATATATGGCTCCACTCTGTATCAAGAGAGAAGAAAAAAGATTAGAAGTCAAGCATTACTGTATTTTATTTCTAAAGAATAGCTACTATAAATCCCTCTGATTGTCTTTATTGTCCAACAGGAAGTTTCTAAATTTTAATTAAATTGAAAAAAAGCTGGTCAAGATGTGCAGCAACTACATGTCCATCTCCCATGTATTATTTAACAAAACAAAACTCAGAACCCTGACTCGGTTAAAATTAAATGCTAGAACTTATAGTAATACTTAAATAATTGGAAGTAAAATGTGAAGGTTTCTTAATTAAACACAAAAGCTTCTTGTTGACCTCATTGAAATTTAAGGAATACACCTTTTTTCCTTAGCCTTTTAAAGAAAGTAATACAGAGAACGATAGATTCCTTTTGAAATTTGTTAATTCAAAACTGATTCAAAGGGTCAATGTACCCTTACCAAATAAACATAGAAGATGAAGTTTTGGGAATACTGTAAGTTGATTTTTACTTATTACCCTTCAAGTTTTTTGTGGGCAAAAAATGTTATCCATGCCCCCTTTCCACTAATTACAATAGCTGGTTTCTATGCACCTAAAATGTGACTTATGATTGAAAATTGCTCAATGTATTCTGCTGCCAATAGAGTAACAGCCTCAAAACATGCAGACATCCCCTTTCCTGTGCAGTACTGTACTGTTAAGGCTATCTTACCTTCAAAGTGATAATTTCTTGCAGCCTGCCAGTCATTGGCTTCCATGTTTTCCCAACATGCTTCATCAGCATCTGCATTTTAGGTGTCCTGGACTGGTGCCGTTCCACCACCTCCTCCATGCCCGGCTCCTGGCTCATTGATAAAGGAGAGACCCCACTCATTTTGGAAGATGGCTCCCAGGTGCTGCCGCCGACTGCTATCGGTTGGCGGGGGACTGCAGGGGGGTGGCGCCAAGCCACGGTTGGGGAGGCTATTAGTGGTGCGGACCGCCGAGGCTGGAACATGGCAGGCTTTGCCTGGTTGATCCAAGTTCTCTTTCAGCTTGCTGGCATAAGAGATCTTGGGAATGATCCTGGCACTGCTGCTATCAACTGGGAAAGCAGGAAGGGGCCGAAAGAGTGACCATGTTTCCTTCTCGGATTCCTCAGTGGTTACACTGGAGGCATTAGCAGGCTTCTCACTGGCTTTGATAGTGCTGACTCGTTCCAATTCAGGAGAAGACAATGG